CATTTAGTGCCCCCCCTCGTTGGGCACTAGTATGTGAGGGCTCAAACATTACCTCCTCTGGTTTCAACAGAGACGTCTTTCTTGGAAAATCAAAACTAGGTTTTATTGGAACATGGGACAACAGGTCCATATGACTGCCTCAGTCTCAGGGTCTAATAACAGGTGATCTCTTCATCCCCCCCCCCCTCTGTCACTGCCTCAGTCTCAGGGTCTAGTAACAGGTGATCTCTTCATCCCCCCCTCTGTCTCAACGGGGTACTCTTCTCCTCAAAAAGGAGCCCATGGTCTGGCAGAAATCCCCTCCTCTGGGCTTCCTCCAGACACCATAATTGACGTTCTCTTTCTTCCCTTTCCACCGCCTCCATTTCCTCCTGGAGTCTCCTACACCACTCCCGGGCTTCCGACTCTCCCCAATAGGAAGGGCGCAGAGATAAACCCCTTCTCCTCCGATAGCCCACTTCCTCCCTAGGGACTCGTACCTTTTCCCATTTGCCAGTCCAAGGGTGTTCTACCCAAATCATTTCCCAACCCCCTGGTATCACATCCACCTCACCTTTTATATCCCCCATTCCCGCCTCTACGATGGACCTCCCTCTTTCTTCTCTTTCCGCGAATTCTCCCACAGTCTGAGTGGCCACTGTCATCTTTGACAGTTTCCGCTCTAACTCATGGGTATCAACTCCCTGTTGTATAGTCTCGACGGGTCTTCTACCCAAATCATTTCCCAACCCCCTAGTATCACATCCACCTCACCTTTTATATCCCCCATTCCCGCCTCTACGATGGACCTCCCTCTTTCTTCTCTTTCCGCGAATTCTCCCACAGTCTGAGTGGCCACTGTCATCTTTGACAGTTTCCGCTCTAACTCATGGGTATCAACTCCCTGTTGTATAGTCTCGACGGGTGGTGTAGGCAGGTCTGTCTGCGCCTCTTGTTCCTTTCTGAGGGAGGACGACACTCCAGCGAGAGCTTCTGCCTCGTGTCTCACACAGGGTCAGGATCAAATACAGTGGTACCATAATTTATGAATTTAATACGTTCTCTGAGATGTTTAGTATTGCAAAAATTCACAAACCCAAATGTGGTTTCCCATAGGAAGATATGCACGGGGCGGTGCTATAAACCTCCCAGGCACAATACATCCTGGGGAAACTTGCTTTGTATTGCAAAAAAAATTCATAAACTGAGGCATTATTTTCAATGGATTTTCATTCGTAAATCGATAATTACATTAACTGAGGCATTCCTAAACCGAGGTACCACTGTATGTAATAGCCCCAGGCAGGGTTTTAGATGATACCTATCTATTGCATGTTTATCCCTCTGACAGGGATAAACATGCAATAGATAGCTATGTGTACAAACATGTAATTGAACTCAGACAGGAATTGAATCCCTTGTTGGGATAAATGTGGCGTATAAATAAAACTACTACAGTGGTGCCTCAACTTATGAACTTGATCTGTAACCGAAGATGGTCGTAACTCGAAATGGTCGTAAGTCAAGGCACCATTTCCCATAGGAATGCACTGAAATGCAATTAATTTGTTCCGACCGAAGGAAAAAAAATCACCAAAGAAACCACCACTGCAAGACCCATCAGAAACACAATTAATCCGTTCCGACGGGGGGGGGGAAGCAAGCAAACCGTGCAAGACACTTTGGAAATGCAAAAAAGCAAAGCAGAAAGCAAGCAAAGTGTGCAAGACCCATCAGAAATGCAAAAACAGCAAAGCAGAAAGCAAGAAAGCGTGCAAGACCTATCGGAAATGCAAAAAATGAAAAAAAAAGGAAAGCAGAAAGCAACCAAACCCCGCAAGACCCATCAAAAAGCAAAGTAGAAAGCAAGCAAGCAAAGCGTGCAAGACCCATCGGAAATGAAAAAAAAAGGAAAGCAGAAAGCAACCAAACCCCGCAAGACCCATCGGAAATGGGGGGGGGGACCCAAAAGGCAAACAACCCCCCCAAGACCCATTGGAAATGGGGGGAACCCAAAAAGCAAACAAACCTCCCCAAGACCCATCGGAAATGGGGGGCAGATCCATCAGAAATGGGGGTGAATCCCCAAAAATACACAACCCCCCCAAGACCCATCACAGCACAGAAACATAACCCCCAGCCCAAAACCACACTGCAAAACCCATCCAGAACAGTTTTTACAAAGCAGAAAGCAGCACCTTACCTTACCAGGCAGTCCGATCGCACTACCTCTAATCGTTGGGGTGAAAGAGCTACAAAGAAGCAGCCTCTTCGCCTACCAAGTTAGCAAATTTGAATTCCCCACCTTTTCCCCCTGCCTTTGTTTAGCCACAAGTCAAAGCAAAATTTTGTGGTCAGAGCTGGTCACAACTCGAAATGGTCGTAAGTCAGGACATTCGTAAGTCGAGGCACCACTGTACTAACAATAATGTAACAGATTTTATAGAGCCAGTTTGGGTCAACCCTTGACTTACAAACGGCCCGAGTTACGAACATTTTGACTTACGAACCACTCTCATAGGAAAATATTGACTTGACTTACGAAATTAGACTTGAGTTACGAACTGGAAAAAAAAGCGTGGGAGGCGGCGAAAGTGCAAAATTTGAACTTTCAGTTAACTGTTGGCCAGTGAAGAGGGTGCCTGTCTGCTTCCTCACTCTTCCCAGCATTTACAGAATGGATTGGGAGACAGTCTTCAGACTGCCTGGTACTGCCTGGACTGTACAGTATTTTTATTTTTGGCTATTTTTGGGTTTTTGCTTTTTGACATTCTTTTTTAAGCAGAGCGACTGCCTGTTCTGGGTGAGTACACTGTATGTTTTTACTTTACTGTATGTACTGTACAGGGTTTTTTGCAGCTTGGTGGGGGGTAGGGCTAGGTGTGTGGGGGTCTTGCAGTGTTTTAAAATGTCTGTGCCTATGGTTAAAATATTCTTTGAGTGCATGTGCTGTTTGTTCAGGAAGAAAGGCATTTTTGTGCTGAAGGAATGGGTGCTGGATTCTGTGCCATACTATTGGGGGGGGGGTCTGACCTAAGAACCAAAAACAGCCAGAACGGATTAATTGGTTTTCAATGCATTCCTATGGGAAATGCTGATTTGACTTACAAACTTTTCGACTTACAAACTTCCTTCCGGAACAGATTAAGTTTGTAAGTCAAGGGTTGACTGTAGTTATTTACCAGAAAAAATACCATATTTTTCCATTTATAACAAGTCCCCATTTATAAGACACCCCCCCCCATTTTCTAACCCCAAAATTAAGAAAACTTATCTTTGAGGATTCCGCCTCTGAGCTCAGGACCTGGGACATTGTCTCTGTTGAATCTTGAGCCTACAGGCGACACCTCTAAGGAGGCGTGTTCCAATTGGTTTATTCAGGATCAGCTGACATCAGTTCCATAAGGCTCATGATTGGAGGAAACTCAGCCTGGTAGCTGAAGGGAGTCTGTTTACAGAGGCAAAGTATGTGCCATTTTGTTCTTTCTTCAGCTATCTCAGTTTACTTCTATGTAAAAGACACCCCTTAATTTTTAGGGCAATGATTTTAGGAAAAAGTAGCATCTTATAGATGGAAAAATACAGTATGTCTATCAATAAGTGAACAACATGTATGACAATTAACATATGTTTATAAGCAATTTGAACCAAAAGCACAAGTGATTATTTTAATATTAATGGCTGGCACAAACACATATGAGAGAATGTATAATTTTACTCCAATAGTGTTTTTTTTTTAATCTATATGCTTCAAGCTGCTGCATGCATATTCTGCAATGTTATAGGTTATATATTATTTACTATAACCAAAAGCCAACAAATACTACCACAATTAATATCCTGGAACCAAACTGTGACAGTATGATAGATTTGCCAGCCTCATAGGGCTGGAAATATTTATCAGGTAATAGAAAAACATGCAAAAATATTACGGTATCCCCATCCAGATTTACATTTTGGACCAAATTAATCAGTTTGACCTTGGGTACCTATTTTTAAATACAGTAGAATGATTAGCTGAGGTGGAAGATAAAACACTGAGTCAGAATGGAACCATGATATGAACTCCTTATGCTTTTCCCCCATTATGACCTCATAGGTGGCATGTGCTTATAGCTGGGGAGGGTTGTTCAACTGATCCTCAAATTTTAGGGTGAGCTTCCATCCCATTCAGACCATAAACTGCCTTTTTTTGGGTCTGACTGGAATCAGTATCAGAATTCCTATTTATACGGGGAGGTAAACAGGATTGTTCTAAGAATAAAGTGAGATTATCTCAAATATGTTAGTACAGTACTGATAACATTAGTGGGCCACTTCATCTGAAAGAGCTCCAAGATGCCCTTTTATTTTTCCTCATTTAAACTTTTAAAAAATTTAACTCCCATAAGAAGAGATACAAAGCAAAAGAAATATCTAGCAATGCAAAGAAAAGCAAATCTGGAAAAAAGGAGAACTTAAAACACAAAACCAAGGGCACTCTTTTCTAGAGATGAGTAACCCCTCCATGGGAGATTTCTCAAGATTTTGCCATAGACATACAATTAGTATAAATTAATTATCTCAGAATAACGTGCATAATTTTGCTGCAGTGCCCAACAAAAACACTACGTTTATTTATAATATTTTTACCCTGCCTTTCTTCTTAAAAAGACCCCAAGGTGGCTTACATGATAAAAATAATATCAAAAGTTAACAACAGTGAGTGTACAAATATTAAAAAAGATCAAAAAATACCATACTAAAAAAAACTAGTGGCTGGTAGCTGCAACGATGCATAGAGTACAGGAGTAAACAATTTCAAGGAGTCTGTGGGAGGGCAAATAAATGGCCGTGTGTGTGTGTGGGGGGGAGACATGGTGTACTATTTTGGGCGCCCGATTTCTTGAGCTTGTATCTGTCGCGGAAGAACACAACGCCCTTAAAGGAATAACGGGACTTTGTGACGGGCAGGAACGTTCCTACGCGGCTTCTCCGATTGGCTGCATCTGTCGGCGCACCATTGTCGGTAGAAGGGCGGGGCGGGGGCAGGGCGCCTGGTGGGCGGGTGTCGTTTCCCTGCCACGCCTCGCGGGAGTTCTGTGGCCGCGGCGCGGCTGAGAGGGGCGCCAACCGTCCCTTGGGATGGCGTCGAGCGGCCCCGCGGAACAGCCGCCGCCAAAGGAGGAGGGTGGAGGGACAGCGCCCTGCAAGTCTCCGGCTGCCTGTCGGTGCCCCGACACAGCGGAGCTCTGCCCTAGCAACGGGAGGAGCCCTCGCCTCCTCCCTGTCAGCCCCGGAGGGAGTCGAGGGGAAACGGAGGCGAGGCCGCTGCCTCGGCCGTTCCCTTCTCACCTCGGCGCCCTGAGCGGCCGCGAGAAGGTGGCCTTGTACTGCGACAGGCTCCTGAAGGGCTGCAAGGTGGGCCTCGAGGCAGAGCTTGGGCGTGAGGGGGCGCCCGCCTTGGAGGGGCAGCCCCTTTGCTGCCTGGCCCCTGAAAGGAGCCTCTTGATAGCATTCTTAGGCACCACAATTTTTAGCATCAAGGATTGCAAGGTGCGGGTTGGGTGGGTAGCTATTTTGTGGTAAAGACTTTCTGACAAGTACAGTATTGGGATCCTAAACTGTTAGGAGCTTTATAGATCATAACCAGCACCTTGAATCAGGCAAAGAAACTATGTATGTATGTAACTAATGGAGCCAGTGAAGACATGCCAGGGTGGGATGTGTTTACATATCTACTGGTACCTGTAATCATTGGGCCCAAGAGCACCCCCAAGCTGCAAACTCAGCTTTTCAGGGGGAATGTAACCCCATCCAGAATGGGTAAATAGCCCTCTCTAACCAGTCCAATCATCCACCCAACAGTAGGATCTCTGTGTTATCTGGACTCTGAAACTGTCTCATTTGCACCCTCCATTTTTGTGTGTATTTTTAAAAGTTTTATGGCATCTGTAAGATTAACAGATTTATTTCAGTGTGAAATTTTAGATTACAGTCTGAAGAAGTAGATCATAATTCACACAATCTAATACTGAAATGAAGTTGCTAGCCTTAAAGCACCACACCATTTCATTATGTTTTGTTTTTCTTATAGGTTGGTTGGTTGGTTTGTAGGAGTTGAGGGTCTTTGAGCTCCAACCTACTGCTTTTAAGCATGTTACATTTGGCACTATCCTCTGCTTTTTTTTTACTATGCTACTTTTTAAACAAAAGCTAGAAAAAAGAATATATTTAAATACAAAGGTTGTACTCTCTTGTTGATACGGAATAACTGAAGGTTGGTTCCGTTCAATTTAGAACTGAGTAAGGAATGTGATAGAGGGTTTTGGCAACTTCAGGGCATAAAATCTGAAGGCAGAGTTTGTCATGTATTGAAATCAGTGGATGCAATCCTGTTGCTTAGTGTAGTAGAAGAGACTTGTTGAATCAGTGGGAATTTGGTGAGTCGGCTCAATGAGTCCCATTGATTCGAGTGGGCCTACTCTAGTTGCAATTTAGTACACTAAACAAGAGTTGACTCACCAAATCTCCATTGATTAAATGGGTTTACACTAGTGTGACTATGGTAAGCAACAGTATTTCAGCTAATGGGAATTAAGTTGATCATAACTAATATACTGTATGTGGTATTTGCATCAGTAGGTCTAATGTAAACATGCCAAAGTCTAGAGTCAACCCAATGATACAAAAATGAGAGCAATTTGTGTATAAAATATGAGGTGAAACTCCACTCCTCTGTAAAAGCAAAAGTAAAGTGTGCTCCTTATATACTGCCCCATAGCATTTAAAGCACTCTCTAGGTAGTTTGTAATTTAATTATGCAGGCTACACATTGCCCTACAAGCAAGCTAGGTACTCAGTTTATAGATCTCAGAAGACTAGAAGGCTGAATGCACCTTGACCCGGCTACCTTGGATTGAACCTGAGTCATGAGCAGTTTTGGCTGCAGTACTGCAGATTAACCACTGCCATGAGGTTCTGTACCCTGACAATTGAGAGTAAATCCAGTTAAGTTGAATTTATTTACTTCTAGGTAGACCTGGCCTCAGGTTAGAAGTACATGGTCTCAAATGACTTGGGCAGTCAAGATTATAAACATAAATTTTCTGGTGGGTTGCAGTAGCCTGGTGAGAAAGTAGAAGTGTCCCCATGGTACTGTTATGAGCTGCCTGCACCTGATAATTCATCATTGCTAAATGAAGGGTTTAGCTTTCTTGCAGCAGTAGTTGCTACTGTAGAGTTCATGATGGAGTGAAAAGGACCAATACTGTATCACATATCAATAATGCAAGGTGATAGCCTGACTGAAATCCTATTGCACAGCTCTATGTTCTCAGTGGTGATGACTCCACCATCAGTGGCAAATCACAGCTGATTAAAGGCAATTTCAGTTTGCTTCCGATTACTACACAATACGAAAAAGCTGCACACATCTCAAAACTGCCAAAGGAAGCCTTTAATCAACAGCAAGTTGCAGCTGCTGATGTCATCACCATGGTTTGAAAATTTCCAAAGGCATTTTTGAAATTGAGCAAAAGAAGCAACTTGGATAATGTAAATGTTTCCCTTCTATTATGTAAAAAGGCAGAAGATGCCAATGAAGCTGTTAGTAAATATCTTTTGGAGAAGTTGAAGAAGAAGGAAAAATGGCTTGGAGTTTGGCAGACCAATCCAGAACTCTTTTTTGTCTGTTCTGAAGAAATTTCCATATCATATGTCGGTGTGCTTGTTGAGGTAATAAAATTTATCCTCAATATTTGATTTATTGAAATGGATTTGATGACATGTCTTAACGTTTTATAACCATGTTCTGTCCAGTTAATTCTGACTTATGGTGACCCTTTCCAGGGTTTTTTAAGTAAAAAATACTCAGATGTCGTTTACCACCCTAAGATTGTGCAGCTTGCCCAAGGCTATACATGCTGGCTGTTCTCCTGGGCACAGTGCAGAATTGGACTCCCAACATCTGGCTCTGCAGCCAGATGCCTAAACAACTGATCTACCCAGCCAGTTCTTTATACTTAAAATAACACTGCTTTTCAGAACTATGGAAATTATTTTCAAGTGCACTGAAAAAAATTAGTAGTCCTAAGAATTTCATTTCACTCTTTTATCAGAAATGTTTCTTGTTTTAAGAAGTACATGTGTTTTGTTACTGAATGTGAGACAGTGATTTGGGAACTGAAGTTCCCACTAGTTCAGTTATGCATGTTATGTCAAGTTGCACCCAACTTACAGAAACTTAATAGGGTTTTCAAAGTTTGTGAGATAGATACTATTTTACTATTGCCATCCCCTACTGAATTTCCACTGCTGACTAGGGATTTGAACCCAGATCTTACAAGTCCCAGTTTGTCACTCTGTCTCCTACTACACCACACCAGCTCCCACTAGAAGGGAGTAAGAGACTTCCTACTAATCCACTGAACATAGTAGGGCATCCCAAGAAAACCATTAAAGATTTACGCTGTGTATATTCTCAAGTATTTTGGTCATGGTCTTTTTATTAATATATTTGGGGGCTTGTGTTTTTGACAAGCCTTTGAGTATATGACTCCATAAAAAACAACAATAATTTGTTTTCCTGTTTTTAACAAAACAATACCAAGAAAGAATGCTGACAAGCAACGTACCCTCTAACTTTCATCTCTGCTGGGCAGGGCTTTGCCACTCTCTCTTAAGCATTTTCACAACAGCATGACAGATACAGAAAAGGCTCCGCTGTATAACCAATAATCTTGCTTTCTGAATTTGATCCCTTCTTGGGAATGCAGTGGTGCCTCGTATAACGAGTGCCCCGTTTAACGACGAATTCGCATAGCGATGGCAAAAATGCCATCACTTTTGCGATCGTATAACGAAGGTGCCTATGGGGAAAAATCGCTTTGCGATGTTTTCCCCGTAGGCCCCATTTTCCCCCAGCTGAGCGGCGGGAGCCTCCAAAGGAGCGCTCCCACCACTCAGCTGGGGGAAAATGCCTGCGGTGGCCTTCGAAGGACCCTTCCGAAGGGTCCTTCTGAGGCCACCGCAGGGGGAGGGGGGGGGGGGGAAGCAGCCCCTTAT